CAAAATCTACCAAAGTACTGCTAGTTGATAAATATTATCAGACTGATAGAGGTAAGGTGTGGTATTGGTAGAAATGCATCATAATCCTTAAAGGAATTTCTGAATCAGATTTTGGGTTGTTGTGATGAAATACTTGTTCACTGGAATAATGTGATATGGTTATCTTCAATTTTGAGTGCTTGATTTTTGCAAGTTTTGTCTTCAGTAATTTGAAAATTTATGTGAGTTCTCTACTTTTTCCAACAGTTGAGTAGCTGAGTTGAGTTAGGCTTACACACAAGTAAAAAGGAGTTCTGAGGAAAAATTGTTTAGAATCAACTTGTCATAAAATCCCTGGCAACAAAACTTTTTCTCATTTCATTGACAGAAGCAAGAGGTTTTATTCACTTTAAGTGGAAACAGACTTTCACATATTGTAATCTTCAAGGTGGTGTTTTCCTGTGCAGGATTTATAACATTGAATCCTATTACTAACCCATACTGATCTATTTGTTTTAATAGAACACTTTAATTAAGGCTTTTCCAGTTTATACTAGAGCTCACTGATGTGGAAATGTTCAAGATCAAAGATTACTTCCTTTTAGGGAAGAATCAGTCCTTCAAGGCAAGCTTGGATCAGTTTGTTAATTTTTACTTTTGTTAACTTCCAAAATGAATAGTTGGTCATGTTTATATTAGAAAATTTTACTGCTTTAAGTCAACTGCCCCTTCATTATACAAATAAATTCAATTGTTCTAAATCTCCTTAGTCAGAAATATTCAAGTCCTCAAAATGTCTAGTAACCGAGCACGGAAAAGCACCACATTTGTTTGAAATGTTAATGTTTGTTATGTGCATGCGGATACACTTTTTCTTTAAATGGAAGTACTTTGTTACTTTGTACTGCCCTCTCCTGACTTGGTTTTTCAGGGTGGACCTGTAATAGAGTGTGTGTGATTTGTTCTGCTACAAACTACAAATGTATGTTAACTATGTGTGTAATCCAGAAGTTTAGCGTGCTAAAAATAAATCTGTGTTAGTTCCTGTCAAGCTAAATAGTATTATACCCTAAAAGGAAAGATGTACAGTACAGCTGGTCTTTAGACAACACCCACCTGAGGACTTTTTTTTTTCTTTTTCCTTTTTGACAGGAATGATACTTTAATGAAACTTAATGTTTACCATTAATTATTTGGCTTTATTTTGGTGTTCACACTTCAACCTATCTGTATGACCTTTAAAGAAGCAGAGTAAAGTATTCACCATCTTTGTCAATATAAATGTATCATTAAATCTGAACACTAGAAACATTTTTTTCAGTAATTATAGATGTTCTTTCCCTAAAAACTAGCAATCTCTTCACAAAGTGAGCAGTCTGTGTATTTATTTTCATTTAATAGCTTGCAAATATTTTCTGGGTGATAAGAGTACTTGCAACTAAATATTCCCTTTACATTTTAAACTGCACTGTCTCATTTATAAACTACAAACAAATTAAAATCAGTTTGGCATTTTTGAATCTCCTGAATAAAATTGCTTGTTGCATTTAAGACTTTAGAAAGATAGGAAATGAATAGTCAGAACCACGCCTCTGATAGGTAGGTGAAAAGAGGAATGCCATATTTTAAATAATTTCTTCTGGTCTCTGCTTTGTTATGTAGTATTAACTAGTCCTGATTATATTTTATCTTACTGTTATTTTAATCTCTGCCATGAATGAGGAACCATGCAGCCGCAAAGTCTGCTCATATCAAATCTGATGAAGAGCATGGAATTTGTTTTAAATACTTCAAACACCAGTCATCTCTCACAAGAGGATGTAGAGTGGGAGTAGGGGTGTACAAAAAAGTGTAAGCAAGGAAAAGGAAGGGAAAAACTTAATTTATTCTAAATTTATTACTTTAAAGATGAAGTGCATCTCCTTGCTGAAACGTCTTAATGCCTGGCATCTTCCCTACTGTCTTCCAGTGGTATAGTGTAATTGATGGCTTTTAATTTTTAGGGTTTTAGCTTTGCTTTACAGGGATACAAGGCATTTTCTAGTGTACAGATGAAACAGATGTTCTGGGAACCTTACCGGTCCATGGCTGCCTGCAATTGCAGGGTCTAGAGTGGGGTAACTCATAGTTTCTTTTTAGGTTTGTATTCTTAAAATTCATAGATAAAAATAGATAAATAAATAAATAAAATTTATAAAATTCACCTTAGGACCTGTGGCCACTGTTAAGTCCCAAATGATTCAAGGACAAATTATCACAATATTCAGCTTCTTCTTCCCCTTCCTAAAACCACCTGAATTACCATGATACGCTTATGTATCTCGGGTATACTGTTCATACATAAAGCTGACTTCCGGTTTTTTACATGATTTTAACTTTTTTAGTATTTTTCACTGTAACAACTAATGAGATTATGCCTCTGCAGACAATACAGTCAGTGTACATCAAGCTGTTTAAGAACATATTCCTATATACTGTGTGAACTGTTTGCTAAGTTTAGCTAATGGCTCTTGCTAACCATTGTATACCAAGCTGATTGACCACTAGCCTGTGGCAGGGGGCATGCACTGATCTTCTGGGTAACCAAAGGAGGAGGGTTCAAGGTACAGGTGTGTACTGTAATTGAAGGGGTGATTTGTAGTATGAGTTCCTGTACTACAGTCATTTGCTGTACATACCAATAGTAATGGTGGTCCAGATTTTAAAAGATGTTGCCAAGATGTATGTAGTGCAGCCCACAATTTATGTGTGTCTTGAAGAATATGTGTAGTAGTGACCTTCTTGTCTCCAAATATATATAGTAGAAAGGGGAAAGAAAAATTTTGAGACATTGAGAATGATCAGAAGCAGGGAACAGCTCTTATAAAAGGAGTGCATCGGTAGGCTGGGGGTCTTCCTTCTGGAGGAGAAATGACAAAGAGTGGGACACTGGGTAGGATTTGACAGTGTCCCAGTACAAAAACTAGGGGCCATCAAGTGAAGCTGGGAGCCAGACTGAAAACAAACAAGACCTCAGGGTATGAGTCACAGATCTGTGGAATTCCTTTTTAAGGGATGTTTGTGGATGCCTGAAGTTTATTTATGTTGAAGGGAAGTCTTGACAAATACATGAAGGAGATCCATTGGGAATGAATAGACGGCCAAACCACAGGGAATCCCTTGAACTGAATGTGGGTATGAAGCTGGTTGGAGACTTATGTGCACATCTTTCTCTGTCTCTGTTGAATCCATAAGCTAGCTGGTACAGCTGGGGACAGGCAACTGGGCTAGAGGCCCTTTAGGTCCAAGTTATGATGGCCATTCTGACCTTCTTCCAAGCATTCATAAAGATTGTGGAATGTTCTGAACATCTTGACTGTGTGAAAAGATTCATCAGTAATTACATTTTTCTTGGCCTCACAAGAATCCCTGTGAGTGAGATAAACATGTGGGAGGTTGCACTTTCAGTTTTATAGCTTGTGGAGCCAGTTTTGGGACCTCTGTCCCTTTCTAAGTCATCTGCATGTGTGGCAGCAGCTCTAGAGTGGTGAGTGTCTGGCTGTCTGCAGGTATTTAGATGTGTTCTCTTATCCAGGTAGTCAAAAACATGGAAATATGTTTGTATGTGTCCAATTTCTACAGTGTCACACACATCTGGAGGAAGAGCCTGGGATAAAAAGCTCTGTGTGAGCAGCTTATGCACTGCGTCAAGGCCTGACTCCTGTAGTCTTGCTTGCTTCTGTGGCTGTGCAAGTTAGCTCTGGTCTGCCAAGGGGGTTTGGCTGTCACACTTGCATCTGACTCTGTGTGTGTATGTATGTATGTATTCATTTTATTTTTACTCAGAAGTGGCTGGCTGTGAGTCATCATCTTACTGACCAGTTAAATCTCCCTGAGCTAGTCTGTACGCATTTTCAGACCAAGAATTTCAGTAATATTTGTTAAAGCTTTTTGGTTTGTTTTGGTTTGATTTCCAAGTAATAGAGCTATTTTCCGTAGGACTGTGTCAAGGCATTCAACTGTATGGGAATTTGCAGAGTGTGCTGTATATGCTATAGAAATTCTGTCTCTAGCCTCAGGGATAGGAGCTGTGCTCACAGTGTATCTGAAGAGTGAGCAGCAGCTTGTCGCAGTCAAACTTCCACCATCATAGAGAAGTTCCTAGGAGGATGGTTGTAGTGGAATGAACTGAACATTACAGCAGTCCTAGCCAGGAAAAGAGAAATCTATACATCTCAGAAGACTTTCACCCAAGTTATTACGATATTTAAGCATAGAGCAGTTTTTGAATGGGAATCTATGTGTAGATAAGTTCTTTGCTCGGAAGTTCTATCAGCTTCTGAGACAGTGTTGCAATAGCAAGGAAAGCTCAACTAACCTACTTGCATCTTGACTCCCTAACCAGGTTTTCATAGCCTGTTGTGTTGTGACTTATGTATGTGACAAGACAGATTTGTTCAGTTTCTTCCCTCCCACTCCCTTCCTACTTTTATTTTTTTCCTCCATTAACATCAGACTTTCTTAGGAATGGGCAGCTTTCTAAAATGTCCAGAGAAAGCATCCTCCTTTGCTTTCATGGTAGAAATAGTACAGATTTCCAAGGGGTTTGCTATGGTTTTGAAAAACTTCTCTGTAGTCCACTCAGCTTTATACCAGGTAAGAATCTAGGTCACTGGTTAACTGGAAGAGGAACTGTTGCAAATACTTGCTTCATCCTTACGAACCCAAATCAAGCTGTTGTAAAACAGCTCTTCAGGAGACTGAAAAGTAGAAGAGCTTTTGGTCATCTGCAAGGGCTGGTACACAATTCTTGACAGACTCATAGAGGGGCTGTGCTGGGTCTTGGTCTGAGAAAGACTTAGGAACTTTTGAAATGTGATGGGTATGTGTATCTTTGTTAGAAGAGGCGATAAATGTCTGAAAGCTAAATAGCTAAAATTTTACCTAGGCAAAAAAAAGTTGGTCTATCTGTGAAGCAGACCTCTGGTTTTGAGCAGCTGAAATCCCAGGACTCCTGACACAGGATAAAAAACAAAAGCTTGAAAAAGTTCCATTACTTATAAGTACAGGACTGACTTTTTACTTAATTTATTTTGGAAATGCAGTGAAAATATTGTGATTTAGAGCACAAAGGTGTGGGAGACAGCCATATGAACAGTATCTCTTATAATTTCCACCTTCTTAATAGGTTGCCACTAATGGGATTATTGCAGTGAATGAACCTTCAAGTGAAGAAAAGTATCTTGGTCAATTTCCAATCAGTTTTGGGGCTATTGCTCCTTTTATGGCTGACCTGGACACAACAGGTGGACGTGGAAGTGTGTATTACAGAGAAGATTCATCCTCAGATGTCTTGCAACTTGCATCAGACTATATCAAAAGAGGCTTTCCTGAGACTACTTTTGATCCCAGCAGCGTTGTCATTGTTACCTGGAAGCTCGTGGCTCCTTACCAGGCACCAGGAGAAGATCATGCTTTGGAAGAAAAGGTGAGTGTTAATCAGAGCTTTAAGACACTTGAACATATTCATCTGAAGTGTAACATTGTAATCTGTTGGTTTGAAGGCTCAAATTCCTTTGTGTTTAAATGAATCCTGTACAGTTAAGAATGTATTTTGTTGTTGAAAAGGCTATGGAGGAATAGGAGTTTACAGAATTTTTACTTTTTATTTTACAGTATTTTATGCATTCAGAGTAAAATACTTGAATCTACATAGCTGATTTATTTGTATTCCCTGACAACTCTTACTTCAAATGTTAAGTGTGATCTATTAAGAACTGAAATAATAGAATATCCTGTCGTCCATCTGTGCAATATAATCCAGTTGGCTTGCATTTTTTAGCACACCCTTGTGTGCTAATTTTGACATCAAACTATCTAAAATCTGATAGGTATATGGGCTAATAGGAACTTCAAACTGTGAATATGTTTTGGGCAGATGACATTGCATTCCCAAAAAGGTCATGCAAGGATATGGTTTGTAGCTGATACTGAATAAAGAAGTTAGAGGGTGGGGTTTTTTTATTACTTGCAAACCATTTTCTCTTTTTAAACTTAGGTACTTTTCTGCAAAGATATGTAACTTTGTGCACCATAGTTATTCC